TGAAACTCCTGGGATATTAAACTGGTCAGGTAAGTAGCAGAGGGGGTTGTTAATCAGTTTCAGCTGCTTTGGTGGTAATGAAATTAACAACAGGTGAACTAGATGGGCAACAATGAGACGACCCCCAAAACAAAATGGTTTTACAGGTGGAGGCCACTGACTTTTTCTCTACTCATCTTTTCTGACTGTTTTTCACTAGTGGTAGCATAAGGCAATACCTGGACCCTACAGAGGTTGCACAGGCAGTCCAACTCCTCCAGGATGGCACATCAATACGTGCCATTGCCAGAAGGTTTGCTGTGTCTCCCAGCACAGTCTCAAGAGCATGGAGGAGATTCCAGGAGACAGGCAGTTACTCTAGGAGAGCTGGACAGGGCTGTAGAAGGTCTTTAACCCAGAACCTTTGTGCAAGGAGGAACAGGATGAGCCCTGCCAGAGCTCTACAAAATGACCTCCAGCAGGCCACTGGTGTGAATGTCTCTGACCAAACAATCAGAAACAGACTTCATGAGGGTGGCCTGAGATCCTCTAGTGGGCCCTGTGCTCACTACCCGACACCATAGAGCTGGATTGGCATTTGTCATTGAACACCAGAATTGGCAGGTCCACCACTGGCACCCTGTGCTCTTCACAGATGAGAGCAGGTTCCCCCTGAGAACATGTGACAGACGTAAAAGGGTCTGGAGAAGCCATGGAGAACGTTCTGCTGCCTGTAACATGGGTCAGTGATGGTCTAGGGAGAAATATCCATGGAGGGACGCACAGACCTCTACAGGCTAGACAATGGCACCCCGACTACCATTAGGTATGGGAATGAAATCCTTGGACCCATAACCAGACCCTACGCTGGTGCAGTGGGTCCTGGGTTCCTCCTGGTGCACAACAATGCCCGGTCTCATGTTGAGAGAGTATGCAGGCAGTTCAATGGTATCAATTTTTTCATCCTCCAGGAATGGCCCCCACACTCGCCTGACCTAAATCCAATAGAGCACCTCTGGGATATCATGTTTTGGTCCATCCGACGCCGCCAGGTTGCACCTCAGACTGTCCAGGAGCTCAGTGATGCCCGGGTCCAGATCTGGGAGGAAATATACCATCCATTTTCTCATTAGGAGCATGCCCCTACGTTGTCAGGCATGCATACAAGCACGTTGGAGCCACACAAACTACTGAGGACCATTCTGAGTTGCTGCAATGACATTTCAGCAAAATGGACTCGCCTGCTGCATCATTTTTTCACTTTGATTTTCGGGGTGTCTTTGAATTCAGTCCTCTGTAGGTCGATCATTTTCATTTCCATCAAACGATGGGGCGTCCTTACATTCCTAACACATCACCCTGTCCATGTCAGTATAGAAATCCAGCAGGAGATTTCTCCCCATTAAGATCTGATGGGTTTTCAAAGTCTTCCTTTCATTTTTTTTGAGCCGTGGTTACTAGATGGGCAGATATGTTTAAGTACTGTACAATGCCAGGCTTCGGTGACATGTCCCTAGAAATTGGTGTCCCTGGGCTCCGATATGTTGCTTTGTAGAGCAGACTGGAATGGGAACATAGCTTTGTGCACATATACATGTGTATGATGTGGACTGGGGGCAGTTAAAAAAAGCAGGAAGAGAAGTGAGCAGTAAGGCCTCATGCCCACTGAACTTTTTTCTGTTACTCCTAGGGGCGTTATTTATTTTTTTTCCCTGATTCTAAATTCCCCTGCATGTTAGCCTATGTGTCCCTGCACACATATACATTAACAGGCAGAAAAGAAAAACCCCAAAGATAGTGCGTCCAGGAGCAGCAGAGTTTAGCGGAAAAATGTGTGATACCCCTAAACGCATGTAAACGCCTATGCACTAGGTGCATTTAGTGCTTAAGCATTCATTTCAAAGGCCAGAATTAATTATTAGCAACAGAAGATGATCGTTTGATTGACTTATCAGTTTGGATGTGTTGGAAAAAGGTTTGCAATTGAGGGCAGCTGTCAGATTACAATGCATCAGGGATTGGGACTTGGAGGGGGGGAGGGGAGGAATAGGAGAGTCCTGTGTCTACCTCCGTTAGGTTTCTCCCCCCCCCCTCTCCCCCCCCCCCCCCCCTCCCCCCCCCCCCCCCATTTGGCTCCTCCATCCACACTAAACCTATTGCCAGCTTAAGTATCTAAAGGGACTCATCCATGGTAAGCATTTGCCGCTTCAGTTGAAAAGTTTTAAAAAATGTGCTATTCTGGGAAATAGGGATGGATAACTTACCCGCATGTGGTCAAAGGAGATCCCCACCTTTCTGCTCAAGTCATTCCTCATCAGCGGCAGTCTGGAATATCTCTGACTGAAGTGGTTCAGCATCACATACTCAGCGTTCATCCGCTCCCCAACACCGATGGCCTGCGAGACTGTGCTATTTCATACAAAGGGAATGAAAAGTGAGGGTTAGATCGCAGGTTATCAAGATATGTTGTATCCGCTCTCATAGGAAGTGAATGCTGAATATTTGCCCAGAAAATACAAAGTGTTCACTTCGCCAACAAGCCAAATTGATGAACAGTGTTTATATTTGGGGGCAGCACAGTGGCTACATGGTTAGCACTTCCGCCTGGCAGTACTAGGGTCATTGGTTCGAATCCCAACCACGGCACCACCTCCCTGGAGTTTGCATGTTCTCCCTGTGCCTGCGTGGGTTTCCTCGCACGCTCCAAAAACATGCTGGGAGGTTAATTGGATCCTGTCTGAATTGGCCCTAGTATGTGTATGTATGAATGTGAGTTAGGGACCTTAGATTGTACGCCCCTTGAGGGTTAGGGACTGATGTGAATGTACAATATATATGTAAAGTGCTGCGTAAATTGATGGCGCTATATAAGTACCTGAAATAAATAAAATAAATAAATTAGAGGCGGATGCTGACATCTTGGATCCCTCCAGCCACAACTGAAATCCTCCACTTCTACTGTCTACAACAGAGCAATGACGGACAAACATCCATAACACATGCCTAGGCCAAATTACTTTTATAGTTGGGGAAAAAAAAAAAAAAACATACACTTTTTTTTTTTTGTTAATGGCAAGTAGCGTAGGTACCTTCTACCCTGTATCGGCCTGTTGAAATCCATGTACAGCAGAACTCAGATGAAGAGAGGAAGAAGCAGCAAGAGAAGTCAACACTTGCACTGTAGTGCTCATGTACTAACAAGGACCATATGAATTGAGGAGGGAGCAGAGTGGCAGAGAAGCTCATCAGTCTTCTGCTTCTCCTTTCATTGTCCAATCAAAGGATGGAGGAAGGACAGGGCTTGTAAGTATTACTTAAACTGCAGCTGAGGAAAATCAGGTCTGCTGCCCTGCCAGACAGGTTTGTACTGTGTATTAGTGGGGTTTAAATCTCAAGACTTGATTGGCAGATGGGCAGCCTCCGTATATGTATTTCATCTGTATGTACATAATGGTTTGCCTGGAGTCCAGCTTTAATGCCCCTCTAATGTGTTCAGGAAAAATTGGCAAGTAAATTTATTTATTTCAGGTACTTATATATTACGCAGCGATATATATATATATATATATATATCTCTCAACATTCACATCAGTCCCTAACCCTCAAGGGGCATACAATCTAAGGTCCCTAACCCTCAAGGGGTGTACAATCTAAGGTCCCTAACTCACATTCATACATACACATACTAGGGACAATTTAGACAGGAGCCAATTAACCTACCAGCATGTCTTTGGAGTGTGGGAGGAAACCCGAGCACCCGGAGGAAACCCATGCAAGCACGGGGAGAACATGCAAACTCCATGCAGGAGGCACCATGGTCGGGAATCGAACCCATGACCCATTTACTGCAAGGCAGACGTGCTAACCACTAAGCCACGGTGCCGCCCCACAATTATGTAAAAGAAAATATACGAAGTGAGAGGGATAGCTAGCTCCACCTTCCTCTCACCTCCTGACCAGTGGCAGAGGGCGTAGAAGGTCCTGCAACTCTAGGCGGGCCAATACCAGCCGAGAGAGATGTGTAAAAAGGTCTGCTGCATAGGATGTGCATTGTAGACCGCTCCTGTAGCTACTGCAGTGAATCAGGGTGTCACTGGCGCATGTCTGCATAAGCTGCTCCCTGGTTGCCATAATGATGCCAATGTATGCGCTCCTCCCCAGAGCCCAAACTACTTCCACTTTCACCCTGTGTCCCAGGGCGAAAGTGGGAGACGTAGTTGCTTAGGGAGGACCAGTGATTGTAGAAGAGAGACAGAGGGCCACTCTGTTTCTAGCAACAGGAACGGTTGACATTGTGCACATACTCTGTTACCATAAGCCACCATCATGACAGAAAATGTCTCCTGCTATAAAGGCTAAAGGCAGGTAAGAATCACAAAATCCCACTCTCCACCCCTTTCCCAACACACGTGACCCCACACGCTAACCCTGCCTTAACATGACCCAGCCCCACGTTACGCCACCTCCCTAACTTGCCACTATTTGCTGCCACCACAGTTATCTGCAGTTCTACACGCTCTACCATTGCATTAAGGTGCACTACTCCAATCGCCTCCACTACACCAAAATGTACTACGCCACTCTACACCACTGGACCCATATGACCAATTCACTAATGTTGACCACTGCAATCTCCACCACGACCGTGAACAATTCTGCACCTGAGCTGAGGGATTTGGGTCCAGAGGTTGAAGCAGCAATTCTTTTTACGTTCCATCAACTACATAAACCAAATTAGAACATGTAATGGTCATTTTCAGTGGATTAAAAGAGTTCCATTCTTAGCATCGGTAACTGCACAGCAACAGGAAGAGGGATTGGAGCCGGGAAGGATTGGTCACTTACTGAAGATTGGTACTTGGGTGAACAGTCAGTCTCGTCTTTGTACACAACTTGACTCCACTCCTACATCGACAATGCGTGTCATTGTCTAGCCTCAGGCCTTCTCACTGGACTATGGACATCACTCTGTTGGTGAGGTCCCCTCTGTGCTCCACCCATAAATTGCCTATACCCTCCGTCTACCAGCCCCCAGTGCCTAACGTGTTAGAAAGCATATAGTAGCCCTGGTACCTGTGTGCTTTTTCGATTGCATCTTTCTCTAAACCATCTTCTAGTGTGTGCTTCATGAATAAGTAACGTGGCATTTTTTCCTGGTAATAGAAATAAACATCTCAAACTTGCTCACCTTCAGGAAGAAAGGCAGTTGAACACAAAACACCAGACTTTGGCAACCTGTAGTCTCCAGGAAAGCCAAATTGAGTAATCACATGCATCGGGAGTATTGTGCAATAATGAAACAGGTTTTGTTAACCATTGAAGTTTTCTTTGCAGGAATGCCATTCAGCTGCAGCACCGACTTGTTTATTGTGACAGCAACAGGGTCTTGCTCTTAGAATATACATAAGTGTGTGCAGTGCTGTTGAATGATATTTTTCATCTGCAGTGTAAAAAGAAAAAAAAAAAAAAAAAAAAAAAAGCATATATGGGGGCCTGAGGTGGTCCATATGCTTCAGTATATGTTTAAAAAATGTAATGTGTGCCCATCATTAGAAGTGGGTGGATGCAGGGTGGTATATTCTAATGGGGGACATATACCACTTTTTCTGGATGAGATTTCTTCTCTTTTTTCCCCATTCAGCCCACAGGCTGCATTAAAAAAAACAAAAAACATAGCATGTAAACCCAACAAGAACCAGCTACGTACTGGTACATCACTGGACTTTGAGTGGTTATACCAGGACCATGTAAAAGCAATCCTAGTGGCTAATTAGCTGCAGGATTGCTTTTGCAAGCAGCGAGAAAAGATGTCCCCTTCTCCCACATTTTTTTTTATAATTAAAAATCTTGTATAAAAAAAAATTATATCTGCAAAATACTTACTATGCCTCTTTTTCAAGTCATTGGGGAGTCTACTTTCCAAAAAAGGGGTCATTTGGGGGGTATGGAGCTATCCTAGCATTTCAGGGCCTCCAACACTGTGATAGGTAGTGAGGAAGTGAAATGAGGAAGTTACGCACCTTCAGGCTATCAAAGTGGTCATTGGATTTCAGGCTTCTGTATGTGACTAGGCTCCCAAAAAGTCTCACATGTGTTATTCCCCATACTCGGTAAAAGTAACAGAATGTATTTTGGGGTGCAATTCCACATATACCCATGGCTTGTGTGAGCAATATATCATTTAAGTGACAACTTTGTGTAAAAGAAAAAAAAGAAAATCGTTTGTCACTTTCCAAAAACTTACGGAAAAAAAAATAAATCTTCCATGGACTCAATATGCCTCTCAGCAGATAGCTTAGGGTATCTACTTTCCGAAAAGGGGTCATTTGGGGGTGTTTGTACTGTGCTGGTATTTTAGCACCTCAAGAAATGCGATAGGCAGTCAGAAGGTAAAAGCTGTGTAAATTCCATTATCTATACCATAGTTTGTAGATGCTATAACTTTCACACAAACCAATTAATATGCATTTATTGGGATTTTTTTTTTACCAAAGACATGTAGCAAAATACATTTTGGCCTAAATTCATAATGAAATTTTAGTTTTTTTGGATATTTTTAATGACAGAAATGAGAATATTTTTCAAAATGTTTGGTCTTTTTTTGTTTAGATCACACAAAAAAAAAAAAAACAAAAACAAAAACACCCAGAGGTGATCAAAATGCCACCATAAGAAAGTTCTATTTGTGTGAAAAAAATGAATTTTATTTATGTACAGCATTGCATGGCCATGCAATGGTCAAACTAGCACAGCTCTGCATAAAAAAAAAAAAAAAAATGGCACAAATTGCAGTATCTATACCATATTTTGTAGAAGCTACAACTTTCACACAAAGCAATCAATATACACTTATTGGGATTTTGTTTACCAAAAATATGGCCTAAATTTATGACTGAGTTTACTATAGATTTTTTTTTTATAGCCAAAAGTAAACAAAATCTTTTTTTTTTTTTCCCAAACTTTTTGGTTTTTTTTGTTTAGAGTGCGAAAAATAAAAAGCGCACAGTTGATCAAATACTACCAAAAAAAAGCTCTATTTGTGTGAAAAAAAAAAAAAAAAAAAAAAAAGGGACAAATTTCATTTATGTACAGCATTGCATGACTGCGCAATTACCAGTTGAAACAGTGCCACGCCAAATAGCAAAAAAAAAAAAAAAGTCTGGTCGGGGGTGGTTGGGGAGGGGTGTGTGTGATGAATCCTCAGGAGGGCAAGTGGTTAAAGGAAAAGTACAGCCAAAGCTAAAAAAAAACCTTGAGCCTTTACAACCACTTTAAGAACATGGACATCATGGATGAAAAACAACACTAGAACAATCCCTTTGCCAACAAATAAAACGCATGCAACTCACCCATCTTAATTAAAGCCTCACAGGGCATGGTGTCTCCTGAGAAAACCAGCTTCCAGCCAGACTGATGGATGACTGCACAACCAAAAGCCATTTTACAGTGGCGGACGAAACAGGTCTGAAACTAAGAAATGAAAAAGTCAGAAAAGGCAAACCAGCAAAGAGGACCTCAAGTGACAAAATCGGAATTCGTCTGTTCAATTAATGAGACATGGTCATCAACTTAATTGCAGGTTAAACCACATAAAACCCTCATTTCCATGCCCATGCTTAGTTTCAGTATTTTTTCCTTTTCATAAACAATTGTTACTCACTTGCAATGTGCTTTTGAACTTTCTAGCTGCATGAAATCAATTATCTTTTTAGTTGTCTATTAGGATAGCATTCTGACCAACGCTGTAATGGGAGGAGGGACCTTCTATCAATGTACGCAAGTGCAAATTTTCATCACTGATGGTTCAGGAGTTCAATTTAGCAGGGGTTCTCCTAGACCTGAAAATTGTTTCAAGGGTTCCTCTGTGGTAAGAAGTTTGAGAAAGACTGCTTTATTATGCCACACCAAATTCCTAGGCATGGAGGTCATCACAGAAGCAAAACAGTCCACCATTTTTCTATGCTAGCAGTCCAGCTCCATTTTGTGATTGCATAGAGCAAGGTTTCTCAAAGATTCCATGGAACCCTAAGATTCCTCCAGAAGTTCCTCAAGCAATATCTGCCTCTCAGATAAGTTCCTACTAACACCATTGATCTATTTAGCAATCTATAGCGGGGTAATTCTTCCAAATGACCACAAGTGTAAGGAGCATTCTTCCCACTGACCATCACACTAATAAATCATTTAATTTTTATCAGGGGTTCCCGAGACCAGAAGGTTATTTCAAGGGTTCCGCTGTGTTGAAAAGATTGAAAAAAGCTGGCAAAGAGTCCCCATTTACATTGGTAAAAAATAACACCAAGACAGGTGTCTAGAACTCATGTATGTTACCTTGAGAAAAGGGACCTGAGATGCTGTGATTTGCCTTCCTTTGTGATAAATGTTGCACATCAGAAGGTTGGCATATGGACCTCTCTTTTTTTGTAATATTATTTCTGGCATCCACATGCATGTTAGTCCCTTACCTTTTCAAACTGGTACATCTCAAGCAAGGAGGAGATTAAGCTTCTGATCTTGGGGCAGCCTCCCTTTGCGCCTTCTATTAAGTTATGTGCTGGGATAACACTGGAACACAACAAACATATATAGGAGTCTCAATCAGTGAGATGTCTTTTTTTTTTTTTTTTTTTTTTTTTTAGAGTTCTTTTTAGATTTGAATCAAAGTGATTGTAAAGCTTCAGTTTCTGTTAACCTCCCTGACGGTATTCCCGAGTGTAGCTCTGGGTAAAGTTTCAATACCAAATGCGGTAACCCCGAGCTACACTCGGGCTTACCATGCGGAGCTGCTCCGGCATCTGTTCTTCACTTACCTTGTCCTGCGCTCCTGCGATGTCCCTCCTGCAGTGTCCCCGGCAATGTAATCCAGCGGATGCCGGCATCTGTTATCTGGGTTCCGTCCCCTGCGAGCATCGGGACGTACGGGGGACGGAACTGGCGGGGAAAATGACAAAAAGTGACATTCACTAAATACAGTAAAATCACATAGTATAACATTCCTGTATCAAACCATTTCACATACATTTTGTCCCGAGTGCTTTGTCCGGCGCCCTGCCTGCATTTTTACTGTTCTTTTTGCCTGGAAACTGAGAAACGTCCATGGCGTCCAAAAAGCGTCCCTTTTAGGTAAAAATCAGTTTTAGACCGGCTAGAGAACAGCGATAGTAAATCAGAACCACTTGCAGAATTGAGTGATAATGATTCATGGGGAAATTTTCAGAGACTGAAAACGATTTTGCGACTTTGCTCAGTGATGTGCGAACTTGGCGCTATATTTCACATTTCAGTGTTTTTGGTTTGATTATATTATTGAATTAAATTTATTATATTTTATGATAATTTATTAAATTATAATTTATGATTTTGTGTTTTAAATTTTATCATCCCCGGGATGTTTACTAGACTCTTGTTCGGACAGATTTCAGTGAGTTATTCCTAAAAATTACAGGCCTACAATAAAAAAAAATACATATTTCCATGCAAAAAAAAATGTACCGCTTTGAGCACAGAAATATGGACATAATCAGACCACTAGGGAGGTTAAAATAACAAACTTCAGAGAAATAAAAGAGATATCTCCTGCGCCTCTAAATATACTACTATAATACAGCAGCCAGCACTACGAGTGCCACAATCTAAACACCCACAGTATACAGAGAATCAAAGTAAAAAACAGTGCGGCGCTTCTATAACCCTTGCAGCACTAGATAATGGATATCCCAAATACCTTATCACATGTATCTAGTAAGTGATAAACTGGTGATAACACACAATAAAGTGACTAAAACACAATAACATGAATAGTGTCCATGTGAAAATAATATCATGCAGGTGTACACTGCAAATGCCAATCCTCAGACAGGTGGAGTGTCCTCAGATAGGTGGAGTGCCAATCCGCAACACTACAAGTGCCAATCCTCAGACAGGTGGAGTGCCCACCTCCTCAGATAGGTGGAGTGCCAATCCGCAGACACTACAAGTGCCAATCCTCAGACAGGTGGAGTGCCCCCTCACCTTCCTGCCCAGGCCCCTCAGGACCAATGAGCCTTTGAATATATATTGGATCTTTTCCCCTGAGCGTGGATGAATCCTTCTGCTGGTGGGTCCCTCAGATGACAATAATGGGCCTCTCCTCCTCTTAACTCCTATACAGATCGTTGGTGGTATCGATAGGTCTCCTCCCTCACGATCACAAATGAGGAAAGAGCTTGCATAGTGTAAAACCACTTTATTAAACAAGTATAAAAGTCAAAAACCTACTCACATGCTTCTATGTAAAATCAGGCCTTTACACCACTCAGAGGGTGTACTGTATTCAGGACCAGGTGCACCAAGATGACGTCAGAACGGTCAGTCGTATAAGCTCCTCCCCCTGGTGTATCGCCAGGGGGAGGAGCTTATACGACTGAACGTTCTGACATCACATCCGGCGCGGACGCCATCTTGGTGCACCTGGTCCTGAATACAGTACACCCTCTGAGTGGTGTAAAGGCCTGATTTTACATAGAAGCATGTGAGTAGGTTTTTGACTTTTATACTTGTTTAATAAAGTGGTTTTACACTATGCAAGCTCTTTTCCTCATTTGTGATCGTGAGGGAAGGAGACCTATCGATACCACCAACGATCTGTATAGGAGTTAAGAGGAGGAGAGGCCCATTATTGTCATCTGAGGGACCCACCAGCAGAAGGATTCATCCACGCTCAGGGGAAAAGATCCAATATATATTCAAAGGCTCATTGGTCCTGAGGGGCCTGGGCAGGAAGGTGAGGGGGCACTCCACCTGTCTGAGGATTGGCACTTGTAGTGTCTGCGGATTGGCACTCCACCTATCTGAGGAGGGGGGCACTCCACCTGTCTGAGGATTGGCATTTGCAGTGTACACCTGCATGATATTTTCACATGGACACTATTCATGTTATTGTGTTTTAGTCACTTTATTGTGTGTTATCACCAGTTTATCACTTACTAGATACATGTGATAAGGTATTTGGGATATCCATTATCTAGTGCTGCAAGGGTTATAGAAGCGCCGCACTGTTTTTTACTTTGATTCTCAAAATAACAAACATGTCATACTTAGCTGCTCTGTGTAATGGTTTTGCACAGAGCAGCCCCGATCCTCCTCCTCTGCGCCCATAGGCTCAAGACATCAGGGCACGGCCCCCACCTCTGCTCCCTCGTAAGAGTTTGATTGACAGCTATGGATCTGCCCTGTGAGGAGGGACAGAGCAGAGAACCGCTGCCGTAATGCACAATGCTGGTTCGCAATGGGGCTCAGTTAAGTAGAAGTGTTTGGCTTGGAGGGGATGGAATCCCAGGTATATAGAATGCATTAAGGTAAGAAACATTAAGGCTTTAGAACCACTTTAACCACTTCCCGACTGGCCGTTGTATATAAACGGCCGGACGGTGGCAGTACAGGGCCGGGTGGCCGTTTATGAACGGCCTCCCCGCACCCTGCTTGTGCGCGCTCCCTGGGAGCGCGCAGCACCGCGATTCGGTGCCCGCTGTGTCCTCCGGACACAGTGAAACACCGATCGTCGGACGGGACCTCTGTACGAGGTCCCGATCATGTGATCACTGATTGGCCAATCAGTGATCACATGCAAAGTAGTAAGCAAGATGTCACTTGTGACATCATTGCTTACTATGTGTGAAATCTGTGAATGATCACAGAGGTCACATGGTACAGGGCTATTCACAACAGCCTTGTACCATGTGACAAGCTGTGACCAAATCACAGCTCACTCAGTATTTCTCAATGAGTGCAAGAATGCACAGAGAGAGAAAGAGAAATGATTGCTTTTACATCCTATATGGGTATAAAAGCAATCAGTAAAAAAAAAAAAAAAAATCTTCATCACCCCCCACAAGTAGTACAGTGTCACCATGGTGACACTGTACTGCTAGGGTGACAGTATGTAAAAAAAAAAAATAAAAAATAATAATAAAAAAATAAAATAAAAATGTAAAAAAAAATGTTTAAAAATTATAATTTTTGGTTATAAACTAATTTGTTTTTTTTTGTTTTTTTTGCTAAAAAGATAACGGAATACATTTTGGCAAAGATGTATGATGAAATATTATTTATTTGCAAAATTTTATAAAAAAAAACACTTTTGTTCAAAATATTTGGACTTTTTCATTACATAGCAAAAAAAATAAAAATCCCAGTGGTGAATAAATACCACCAAAATAAAGCTTTATCTGTCTCAAAAAAATGGTAAAAAAAAATTAATTTGGGTACAGTATTGCATGACTGCGCATTGTCATTCAAAGTGTGATAGCGCTGAAAGCTGAAAATTGCCCTGGTCAGGAAGGGGGTAAAAGTGTCCGGTCTGGAAGTGGTTAATAATACGACAGTACAAAATGTCGAAAAAAATAAAGATATCTATATCTCACACAATTTAAGAGTTCCAAGGAGACCAGCAAAGAAAACATCGTTACATGTAATAAAACAGAACACAAAGGCGTATGAAGTCTCTTATTGTACCTGCACAGATAAAGACCAAAAATATATAAAAATCGGTGGGATACGCAGTGGTACTTTTATCTTCAGAACAGGTCACCGATAGATTCACTGCTAAAACAATACGCAAAACAAAAACTAGTAAAACAGAACAGGGTAATGATTGAGGGAAGAGGGAAGGGTAGGGGGAAGATGGAGGAGATCCACTCTCTCCATGACGTATCCAAGCCTCTCTCGTTCAGGCCAATGAGCGAGTACAGGAGAGCTGGTAGTAGTGAAAGACAGAAGCTACAGAGAGGGAAATCAGTAGGGCGTGAGCAGAAGTTCCCATGGGGACTAGCTTTGGGAATACAATTATAACACTTATAAAGTGTTGTTTAGTCATGCTGTATGTAAATCTACAGCAGTTGGCAATACACCTTAGCACCAAGATCTTTAGATAGGAATGATAATGGATAGATTGGTACAGCCATCCAGCACAAAAACTACCAAACACAATTCTACTGAACAGTTCTAATACCACATTGGGCTTGGAGTATCTGAAGGTGGAATCCTGCTTCCCCTGCATCCAATTAATGAATAAAATATCTGATTGGCCAATATGGAGAACACAAACAGTTCACTTTTCACAAACACACAGGCCCTTGGTGACATCAGTAGGATGTGCTCATAAGAGACCGAATACGTCTGTGCCCCACTACCATAGTTATTGTGGAAACTCAAATCCAAAACACTTTAGTTTGGAATGGCGCGGTGAAGGGTTAGAACCTCTATCAGTATTAACTGCTGTCCATGTTCCTTCTTGAGAGAATTGCTCTTTGATCACAATTGTCACTATGACAGAAATTGACAGGAAATCCAAAGTGTTGAGCTGTAACCAGAGAAGGAACAGAGGACAAAAAAAAAATCTTATAACAGGGTCATCTGTTCTTCCTCCAATTCAAGGCACCCATTGCTATCACCACCATAGTCTAGTATTAGTAACCACTACAAGGCGGCAGAAATGTAGACGAGGTGTGCGTTCTGGCAACCTGGGTCTCTTCTTCTCGGGTCCTCCTCTTCTCTGCCTGTCCCCACGCGGCTTTCTCTAGGGGCACTCATGCGTATTCGCTCCCGAGCCCCCATTCTGAGTGTCCATAAGACACACAGAACAGGGCCAGCTCCACCTCCCACTCCTCTTGTGCACTTTGCAGGATCAGGATCCGGCTCGGGTAAGTGGGGTTTGCTGCAAGGGAAGCTGCATACACAATGTATGAAGGTAAAAAACCTTGACTATTGCCAGTTCTTGGAAATCCCTTACTCTACAATTTGAGGAAGTCAGGTCCAGAATCCAAGGTTTCTTGATCAACGAAACAGACAGCGGTGTTGGAGGATAAACATGATAAGTGTCTCTCCATTTGGCAACCATGGGTGGATTACCATCCGGTTTCTCGTTTTACCGCAAAACTTACTAATCTATGATGTGTTGGAATTTGACCCTCCATTCCCTTTATGTGGGGATCGTGTCTGCCGCCCCCACCCCCCCAGGAGAACTCCTTTTCTTTGCTGGCCTGTCTTTCTTCCTTTTGTTTTTCTGTTGTCTATAGATTGGGAGGGTATGGGGGGGGGGGGGGGGGGTTGCCCCTTGGCCCTCTCTGGATCAACTTGACCCTTTTTATTTCTTCTCTCATATGGTTTATTTACATTAGACCAATTGTCTATCATTTGTTAAGGTTATCTAACAAATCTATGATTCTCAGGGACAATATTACCTCATGAGGGCGTAGCTCTCTTTTTTTTTTGCTGCCTTCTTGCATGTAGCCTATATATTTCTGAATGTGGTTGTGGGCCTTGCACCCCTCTGCCTTGCAGTGTTATCTAGACCCCAGCGTGGGTCTTATGTGTGTATTTCTGTGTTTGTTGTATGATGTTTCCCTATCCTCTATTGTTTGTTGTCGCTTTGTATCATATGATTTGTCATGGTTTGTATGTTTCTTTCAACATGCTTAATAAAATCTTTGGTAAAAAAAAAAAAAAAAAAAAAAAAGTAAAAAACCTTCAGCCTTTAGAACCACTTTAAAGCCTAAGTTTAGCCTAAATAAAAAACAGAAAAATCCACAGAAGGGACATAACGTATATTTCCTATGATGTATCCTTTGTGCCGATTCTTCATGTTTCCGGAGAAATTATCTGTTCAAGCCCCCCACACACCCACCCTTGCCGCCTTAATCTCCTGGTGCGGTGGGGGTTAATACATTAAGGAGCGCTCATCAAGAGAGAGCAGCTCTGATCATTGTATTCTGAGGCAGGGAAGGTTCCCCACGGTCAGAACACAATTGCACAGAAGGAGGATTCGCACATCCGCATCAAATGTGTGGATGGAGGAATCTGATCATTTTTTTATCGTTAAACCCGCTGATGGAATGAAAGAAAAATTATGAAATGTATGGGCTGTCTTAGATGCACCAAAAAAGGAAAGTCTGGTGAAAGCGCCTTTTAATTTGCAGGCAACGGAGTGTGACTCACCTTATATTATGGAGAAACGCCTGGCAGTGGTCATGAAACAGATTGAGCCAGGTCATTACAAGCGTGGGAGCTACTAGGAATACAGGACTGAATGGCTTTCCACACGAGCGCTGCAAGAAGACATGAAGATAAAGGCACCAATATACTGAAGGGGGCCGTGACCAAGTCTGTTTTATGAAAACACTTACCAACGCTCGCTCTCTTTCATACAGGACATGGGGGAGACCCTGCAGACAGACAAAATGTAATGTACAATAACTTGAACTCAAGAAGTAAAGATCTGCTATCTTATAAGGAACACCCAGAAATATTAGTTCTGCCTAATCAGTTTCCTCAAAAGTTTTTTCTGAAAATTAGCTGTGCACTTCCTGTGCCTAAGGGACTCCTGTTCTGTAGTCATAGCGGTCTGTATATCTGCAGTGTGTGATCATCTAAGGCAGTGATCTCCAAACTGTGGACCAAGAAACGAATGCGGCCCTTTGCTTGCCTTTATGCGGCCCTTGGGGCAGCATGCCTGCCAGCGACACCGACGATGGGGCGGCACGCCTGCCAGCGACACCGACGATGGGGCGGCACGCCACCGACGATGCCAGCGACACACCGACGATGGGGCGGCACGCCTGCCAGCGACACCGACGATGGGGCGGCACGCACCGACGATGGGGCAGCATGCCTGCCAGCGACACCGACAATGGGGCGGCACGCCTGCCAGCGACACCGACAATGGGGCGGCATGCCTGCCAGCGACACCGACAATGGGGCACTATTCCTGCCACTGACACAAATTACTGTGTTCTATTCTCTCCACTGATACAAAAGATGGGGCACTATTCCTAACCACAGGCACGATGTGATTTTTTTTGCTCCCACTGACCAGCAAGCCTGAGCCATTTTCTACACTCACTGGCCATAGTGGGCCACTGGCCCTCCTAAAGTCTGAAGGACAGTACACTGGCCCTTTGCTTAAAAAGTTTGGAGACCCCTGATCTAAGGCACTGCTGCCTTTGCTAGATCCATTAAGATTTGGAACGAGATTTGGTAATCTTTCTGGTGAGGAAGCTGTACCTGAGAAACAGCAGTGCAAGGATCTCCCTGCTTCTGTTTCATCCATTCTGTAGATCTGTGCTTCATCTAACATTCCTTTAGTTAGATTGCTTCATTATCAGACCATTAGTTATGGTGGAGTAAAACCCTGCCTCTACTAAGATGGCTACCACCTCATAGAGAGACAACCCAGAACACGATATGGTAAGTCAGTAATAGGGAAACTGTCAATTGTAGGTTGACCACATGGAATACAGGCGACTAGTTTTGTCCTCTACTAGACTTCTCTTGGGCAGTTTCTATGGTACAGGTCCTCTTTAAGCACTATGAATACAAATACAGGAGCCATACCAACCCTGTGGAAGCGATGCCAACCTTGCAGAACATACCGAGTGATGATCGGCGTGAATGTGGGACACAAACACTGCAGACAACTGGCACAAAATGTTATCCGTCTCTTTGCCATAGTGCTGATACAGCTGGGTAAATGACCCTTCTCCACAATCCAGCATTAACACTTTAGAGGGACTAAGGGAAAAAGAAAAAAAAAAAAAAAGTCACTACAGCAAAAAGACAGGATTGTCCCAGAATTAGCTCTGGCATATTCTGTAGTGCTGTACAAAAACACTGAGCCAGGCACATCAGTTTCTGCCCCACAGGAGCTTACACTCTAATCATTCTAATGTTCTCACCAATCACACACTATCATACATTTATATAGGCTCTGAGGAAGAGGTTGTGTCCTCGAAACGTTAGCCAGTTGGTCATCCAGGGTTCCATCGTATGGACTCAGATGTTGTTTGGATCATACATCTTGTTCAGTTTGACATGCCTGTGTTATTATGCCCATTGTGAGTATGATACCTATTTTTGTTCCTTTAATAAATTTTAAACGATAATGCACTAGGTCGGTGCGCCCTTTTTCTGTTTCTCCATTTGTATCCATTTATATAGTTCTGACATATTCTGCAGTGTTGTACAGAGAACACTGAGCCAACCACATTAGTACCTGCACCAGAGGAGCTTACACTCTAATATCCCACCACAATCACACATACATGGCAGTAATAATTCTTCACTCACAGACATGAACACTATCCATGTCACCTTTCTTATAACACTGGCATACCTGTTATATCTAAGTGACAGCCCCCTTTCCTCTATAATTCTTAGCTGCTAAACAGTGTAAGATAGGCAGCTTGCCTGTCTGCCTGGAAGGACAAAATAAACCCCAGGGGCTGAATGTCCCCATCGCTCTTACTGCTTGATGATATTAGTTAGAAGCTATTTCACCTACCAGCGTTTTTCTTGGTTATGAAACAAGAAAACGCAGTGGTAGGAATTAAACCCAGAACCCCAGTACTGCAAGAACACCACACAGCTCATTCACCCAGCATGCTTCTCCAAACACTCTGCGAAAAATGCATAGAGTGGTTAGCAGGGCAGAGAAAGGGCAGTGGGCAGAATAGGCAACAGGGCATAAGATAGGAAAGCAGTGGGCAGAACAGGTTTCAGGACAGGAGGAGGGCAGTGGGCAGAAAAGGCAACAGGGCAGAAAATAGGAAAGCAGTGGGCAGAATAGGTTTCAGGACAGGAGGAGGGCAGTGGGCAGAAAAGGCAACAGGGCATAAAATAGGAAAGCAGTGGGCAGAATAGGTTTCAGGGCAGTGGGGTGGCAGTGGGCAGAATAGGCAACAGGGCATAAAATAGGAAAGCAGTGGGCAGAATAGGTAGAATAGGCAACAGAGCATGAAATGGGAAAGCCGGGGGCAGAATAGGTTTCAGGACAGGAGGAGGGCAGTGGGCAGAAAAGGCAACAGGGCATAAAATAGGAAAGCAGTGGGCAGAATGGGCAACAGGGCATAAAATAGGAAAGCAGTGGGCAGAATAGGTTTCAGGGCAGGAGGAGGACAGTGGGCAGAATAGGCAACAGAGCATGAAATGGGAAAGCCGTGGGCAGAATAGGTTTCAGGGCAGGAGGAGGGCAGTGGGCAGAATAGGCAACAGGGCATGAAATGGGAAAGCCGTGGGCAGAATAGGTTTCAGGGCAGGAGGAGGGCAGTAGGCAAAACTAGGGATGCACCGAAATTTCAATGGCCGAAACGTTTTGGCCGAAAACACCCCTTTCGGCCAATATCAAAAAAATCACCCATACAGGTGCTGAGAAAACCCCACCCCTCACCACTGCCCACCGTTGCCGCCGCTCTGTCGTTCTCAGCCTTACCCGAGAAACCAATGAACAATCCCGGCACTGGGCATAGAGATGAGTGAAGAAAAGATTGCCTCCACTCATCTCTATGCCCTTGGAGTACTGGAGCAATTTCACTTCTAGTTTTTTTTTTTTTTTTTTTTCAAGCACTAAATCAATGCTTTTTTCTAATCCAATGCTTTACATTGCAGAGGAGAGATGTGGGGTCTTATTGACCCCACATCTCTACATAAAGAGGACCTGTCACTATTTATTTCTATCACAAGGGATTTATGCATTTCTTGTGATAATAATAAAAACAGTGCAAAAAAGAAAAAAAAAAAACCCACAACATTAAATTAAAAAGTTTAAAGTGTCCCCGTCCCCCTGTGGTGGTGAACGCATACATAGGCAATGCCCCCATATGTAAATGGTCAAACCACACACGTGAGGTATTGCCACGAACGTAGGAGCAAGAGCAACAATTCTCGCACTAGACCTCCTCTAACTTTACACTGCTAACCTGCAGAAATGTTTAAAGCATCACTCATGGAGATTTTTTAAGTACTGCAGTTTCACGCAATTCCATGAGCGTGTGCAATTTTAAAGTGTGACATATTGGGTATCTATTTATGTGCTGTAACATCCTCTCATATTTAAAAAAAAAAAAAAAAAAAAAAAAAACACAATTAGGGTATATATTTTTTTTTTTTTTTTTTTTTTTAATCAAAGTGCATTTTTTTCCAAAAAATATATTAATTTTTAAAAATTGCGCATTTTGGTTTTCGGCCAAGTGCATTTTGAATTTTCGTTTTCAGCACCAGGATTTTCATTTCGGTGCACCACTAAGCAGAATGGGTGGAAGGGCAGTGGGTAGGAGGGTGCTAGTGGACAGAACAGGTGGCAGGGCAAGAGGAGGGCAGGGGGCAGAATAGATGGCAGGGCAGAAGGCGGGCACTAGGAGTAGAATACACACCTGACATGCACCAGAGTATATATATATTGTTTTTTTTTTTTTTTTTTTTTAATCAAAGTGCATTTTTTTCCAAAAAATATATTAATTTTTAAAAATTGCGCATTTTGGTTTTCGGCCAAGTGCATTTTGAATTTTCGTTTTCAGCACCAGGATTTTCATTTCGGTGCACCACTAAGCAGAATGGGTGGAAGGGCAGTGGGTAGGAGGGTGCTAGTGGACAGAACAGGTGGCAGGGAAAGAGGAGGGCAGGGGGCAGAATAGATGGCAGGGCAGAAGGCGGGCACTAGGAGTAGAATACACACCTGACATGCACCAGAGTACAGCTGACATTGCGGGATTTCATTGGGACAGCAGAACCAGTTCCTAGAAACACGAACACAGGATACTGCGAATTCAACTCTAGGGGGGAGAAGAACCCATGAGACAGTGAACATAAAATGACTAAAACTGCTTGCTGTCCCCTGAAATTATTAAGTGCTTGGCTGTCATTCTGATCTTCGGACTACAGAACTTCCTGAGCTCTGCCCTGAAACAAGCATGCTGCCAGCAAAGCCAATTATATCAGAATTCCTGATGTAGTTACTTGTTCTGGATCAGTGAGCCAGAGGATGGGAATCACAGTTGTGAAGAGTCCACAAGAGTTCCACCATTTGAGTATTTAGGTGGAGAGGACTTAAGCAAGCCATAGATGGTTCAGCAGGGACCGGCAAAATTCGGATCATGTAAGGTCAGGCTGGTTCTACCCAATCCGATTGTTGTACAACCAGCCTGTCAGATTTTTCATGTGACTATTGCCGCAAGCAAGTTCTCCCGGCAGGGACGGCTCCCGTGCATTTCCAATGGAACAAGGGAAAAGTAGTGCTTAGTTCCCTGTCGGATGTGACTTGCAGCTCCAGCATATATCCTCCCTCCGCCGCCCGGGGCAGGGCATTTTTTCAAACAGATTATGATAATGATGTTGCAGGGCATAAAATCAAGAGTTGTTGTATTAGGCATTGATTAACAAATATTTGACATCAATTTTAATGAATGTAGGAAGAGGGATCTAGCAATAAAACGTTGACAGGATCCCAAAGCTCAGCTTTCAGCACAAGGCTGCAATAGTAGTATAGTCAGAGGTGTCACCCTCCTAATACTCCAGGTAAATGGTTAGAAGTGGTATACTCCAGGTAAATGGTTAGAAGTGGTATACTCCAGGTAAATGGTTAGAAGTGGTATACTCCAGGTAAATGGTTAGAAGTGGTATACTCCAGGTAAATGGTTAGAAGTGGTATACTCCAGGTAAATGGTTAGAAGTGGTATACTCCAGGTAAATGGTTAGAAGTGGTATACTCCAGGTAAATGGTTAGAAGTGGTATACTCCAGGTAAATGGTTAGAAGTGGTATACTCCAGGTAAATGGTTAGAAGTGGTATACTCCAGGTAAATGGTTAGAAGTGGCAGATGTGCTTACCTTCAGTTTGTAAGAGGTCGGACCCCAGCAGCATCTTGCATTCCCTCAAGGCATCCGGGAAATCCGGCAGCTCCATTGCCTGCTTTACAAACTCCAGGGTGCTGATGTTGGTGACCATGTCCCTGGAAGACAATCACTCTGTGATGATGAAGGAAATACTTCTAAGACAAGACACTGCTGTTCACAATCACAGCTGCTCTGGTAACCTAAAGGGACATTGAAACAGTCTGTCCTCCCACCCTATGTTACTTGTACACCCCCCCCCCCCCCTTTTATTTAAAGTAGAACTATAGGCAAAAACTTTTTTAATTTTGGATAGAGTAAGGGAGAGTTACAACCCGTCAGTTATTTTCCATCTGTGTCCCACTGAGATTTCCCTTCACTTCCTGTCCCACAGTCAAAACAGGAAGTGAGCGGAAATCCCTGCAAATCTTTAGGACCCCCAGAATTCCCCCTTTATTAGTGTTCAGATGTCAACCCAAAAGTTGGGATTCTTTTTTACTTTCACTGTTGATAACAGTAATCAGGACAAATAAGAGATAGCAACTCTCCCTGAAGGGGGCACAGACAGCAATAAAAACCTGACAGGTGTGCTCCACCCTATTGAAAACTAAAAGAAAAAACAAAAGCTGTTCGTTATACTTCACCTGAGATAAGTAGATAACCTGGTCCAGGAGGTGCAGCCTACAGCAGGTGGTGCTGTAAACCTCTACTCAGCCAACAGGACAATAATACAGCCCCACCATCTGAGAAGAGGACTGGAGCGTTGTGTTAGCAGATCAGCGCACCCTGCTACCCCCTCCCAGCAGTGACACAGCAACTCAACTCGCCCTGCGCCTACCTCTCAGCAGCGATTTACTGAACATCCCCCTATTACCCTCTCATCACCCAATGAGTGGTAAAAAATAACAGCATTTCTAATTCTCCCCCCACTACTCCCTCCAAGCAGTGAACCTGTTATGAATGGTTTTCCATTGACGAACAGCTTGCCCACTGTAACAGCAATCACAGCAATCACACGGTACCAATTTAAAAAATTGAATACACATTTTTTTTTTCTCTGTCATCAGTCATATGATGCTGTACTGCACCGGTGACAGTATGTTTAAAAAAAAAAAAAAAAAAAAAAATTGAGAAAAAACATTTTATTTTCCAAAAAATTGTGACAAAACAATTACAACTTAAAAAAAAAAAAAAAAAAAAAAAAAAAAAAAAACTTGCCATGCCTCCTAGTAAATACCTTGGGACGGTCTACCTTCCGAAAATGAGTCATTTGGAAGGTATTTGTACTGTCCTGGCATTTAAGGGCCTCAAGAAATTAGATCAGCCGTCAATAAATCAGAACTGATCAATTTTCACATATTCCATAGTTTGTGGAACTATGTATACTAATAGTATACACTTATTGGGATTTTCTTTCACCAAAGATTTTTGGAGCAAAATAAAATTTTGTCCTAAATTTATGAAGAAATTAGAATTTTTATTGGATAGGTTTTAAAACAAAGAATTCTTTTTTTCTCTCAAAATTTTTAGTTTATACAGTAAAAGAAAAAAAAAAAAAAAAAAAAAAACCCGGTGGTGATCAAATATCTCCAAAAGAAAGCTCTATTTGTGTGAAAACAAATTATATAAAATTTAATTTGGGTACAGCGTTGCATGACTGAACAATTGCCAGTTAAAGCTTGAAGGTCATGAAGAGTGTAAAACCTTACGGAGTGCAAGTGGTTACTATTAGGAGTTACCATATGTGATAAGCACTCGCTTTCCTTTTAACCCTGCCTGTACCACATTGGTTCACCTACCACCACTACAGGAGAGCAGCAGTGTAACGTGATCTAAGGTTAGGTTCAACCCTATGCAGTTTGTGTTTGATCCGTTTCTGCAGTGCGTTTTACATTTTTGCACTTGCTTTTTTTCTTTTCTCTTGTTGCTAGGCAGATTTAAAAATGCAAAACACGGAAAACAAAAAAACAAACAGAAAAAAAAAAAAAACGCACTACATACTTTTCTGCGGTGTTTCCATTGAGGTCTATAGAACCAAAAATGCAACTTTCTGCATTTCAAAAAGTCCCTGACCCTTTCCAAAACACGCACCGGGTAAAACGCAGAGATGTGAACCTGTGCCATAGGAAATCATGTTAAATCGACTGTAGTGCGTTTCAGCAAAACACTGCAGGAAAATGCTTTGGCGTGAACCTGGGGTAATGAGGTGCCCGATTACCTCTGCCATTCCAATGTCGGTCTCAGCTGGTATTTCAGAAGACATTCTGCTTTAACTCCACGGATGTCACTCACTGCCACCTCCTGCACAAAAAAAAAAAAAAAAAAAAAACCCATATGGGCTCCTTTGTAGACAGCTCTCATATCCCAGCACAGAGCTACAAATCCCAGCATGCACAATTACATACCTTCCTAGAGAGCTCAGGGAGTTGTGGGAAGATACGAGGGTGGATGAGGTTTAGCTGGGTCCGGACCTTGTGGGCAGTTTGGTTATGGACAGAGGAAACGCTTTCATTCAGGATCATGTGCTCCGTCTGTGGGCCGAACCTGACAGGAAAAGAAAAAGGGCTTCCAGTAACATAAAATCCTTGTTGCTGGAAGAACAGCCATGGCACTGCACTGTCATTTGACTGGCATATCCCTGCATTAAAAGAAATTTTAAAGCTGAACCCCAGCCTTTACCTTTTTCCCCCTCCCACCTGTAGCAAGCCCTCTCCTCTGTTGAAACAGATTATTCTCAATTCCTTGCAATCTTGCATCTCCAAAATTTAACCCTCTGAAGCAACAGCTATCTTCAATCATTATTATCACAAATTTCCTCTCCTTTTGATGTGTACGGTTATCGGCCCGCCTCTCACAACCACCTCTCTTCCATCAATCATTTTGTTCCTGAGCATTATAAGAAAGAACACATCCACAACATCCCTTTAGATTTACCATGCTTATGCAAATAATCAGCAGATTGCACAGCTAAAGTCTGTAGCATCTAGTAGCTAGCGGGGAGAAACATGCACATCTAAAAGGGATGCTGCGGGTGTGTTCTTTCATAAAATGCTCGGTAACAAAATGATTGATGGAAGAGAGATAGTTGTGAGAGGCAGGCCGCTAACAGTACAGATAAAGAGGAAATTCATAATGACTGAAGATAGCTGTTGCTATCCTTAATCATTGTTGCCATCTTAAATTGGAATTATGGCCCCTGCCACCTCCAAAAAAAGTCAGCAGCTACAAATGCTGTAGCTGCTGACCTGATTTTTAATATTAAGGCAGTTACCTGTCAATGCATCCAGCAGTGTCCTCACCCCGAGCAGATTCTTCAAATCGGCTGTTGGGTGCTGGCGCTACCTTGACTAAGGGAAACCGGCAGTGAAGCCTTGTGGTGGTTTCCTACTGCGCATGTGCGAAGCGCACTGAGCTTTATCAATGGGCAGCAGTCCTCTGGGACCTTGGAAGTGTCCTTGGGTGCAAATTTCTAGCTCAGTTCGCCACAGCGAATTGAACCGGAAGTAGGAACCTGTCAAAACCAGGTACCCACAGCCCTCAAAAAGTCAACGGGGTGGGGGAAGGAGGCAGAGAAGTGGAGGTTCTACTTCTGGGTGGAACTCCGCTTTAAGAAGAATTGAGGCAGGGTGCTGGGATGTTTACAGAAGTCTTCCAGCACCTTCTACTAAACTGTGCAATAGGCAGCAGAAAGACCCAGTGATGGCATCGCTGAACCTCATGGAACCTCATGTATTTCTTGAAAACAAAATAATTTGATTGTAAATGTTTGATTTTGTGACTGGTTTGAAGGTGGGAGGTGGGAAGGAAGGGAGGTGGGAAGGAAGGGAGGGAAGGGAGGTGGGAAGGAAGGGAGGGAGGGAGGTGGGAAGGAAGGGAGGGAAGGAAGGGAGGGAAGGGAGGTGGAAGGAAGGGAGGGAAGGGAGGGAAGGAAGGAGGGAGGGAAGGAAGGGGGAGGGAAGGGAGGGAAGGGAGGGAAGGGGGGAGGAAGGGAGGGAAGGGAGGGTGGGAAGGAGGGAAGGGAAGGGAGGTGGGAAGGAGGGAAGGGAAGGGAGGTGGGAAGGAGGGAAGGGAAGGGAGGTGGGAAGGAGGGAAGGGAAGGGAGGTGGGAAGGAGGGAAGGGAAGGAGGTGGGAAGGAGGGAAGGGAAGGGAGGTGGGAAGGAGGGAAGGAAGGGAGGGGGAAGGGAAGGGGAGGGGGGAAGGAAGGAGGGAAGGAAGGAGGGGAAGGGAGGGAGGGGAAGGAGGGAGAGAAGGAGGTGGGAAGGAGGAGGGAGAGGAGGGAGGGAGAGGAGGGAGGGACAAGAAAAGTTATTTACTGCATACATTAAAAAACCTAAGCTTTGATAGAATGCACAGAATGTTAGACGTAACCGATGGTGCAGATCAATGGAACATGACTTTACGCATAAATGAAAACTGCTTCAATGTTTGGAAAACTCACCGATCCATCCACTGCCTGTAGGCGCTGTGATTAAGAATGTGCTCCGGGGTCATGTGAACGATCAGAGCGACCCCGCTGTCCGAATTCCCCTCGTGATATCTGAAACACAATTATAAAATTCATTCCTGTACTGTAACACACTGATGCCCCAAAAGACAAAGCCGACAAACTCGAAGGATATCTATGCCCAACATACGGTGCTCTTTAGCCTGAGAATTAGACAGCACAGCTAAGTTGATGACCTGACCCTTCTCTACTGCGGTCATTCAATACAGTCTGGTCAATTTCCTGCCTCCCTGGCCAGTGACTGAAAAGGAAAGGAGCGGCATTAAAACTGATGAGGTCATCCCTCCACTCTCTCCTCTTGTGCACATGCAAACTTTGACAGGAAACATATCAACAGAGACTGTAACTTCTCCCCCTTACTCTGAATCCAAATCCATTTTAAATGAACATATTGGTACATTAGCCCAGGTTCACACCAATGCGGTGCGGGAAACGCTGCGAATCCTGTGCATTTCCTGCACCACATTGCAATCACATTCATGCTATCTGATGCGGTTGTCAATGATAAACTAATGACACCCCGACAAAGATCACAAAACACAATGTGATTGCCAAAAATGAATGAGAATATCCATGCGATGCGATTCAGGTGCGGATTTAAAAAAGGGTCCTTCACCTTTTTGGTGCAGATGCGATTTGAGCCATACAAAATGTATAGCTCAAAACTGCACCGCACATACATTTGCATGTAATCCACACAGGAATGCAGTGCTGCTATTCCTGTGCGAATTTCATGCGGTGTCCTGCACCGCATAGTGTGAACCCAGGCTCAATGTTTTTCTTCTCATTTTATGTGTGCCCAGAGTTGAGCTTTGAATGAGATTTGTTTATAACCAAAAATCCGACCTCTACCAAGCATGCACCATGTAACAAGGGTATGAGAGGTCAGCTATCAAAGCAGGCATGAGAAACAGAGACCAGCTAGTAAAAAGCAGCTCAATGTACACATAGTTAGGCACATATTTAACCCCATGCCTGCCCTAGATGTTAACCCCCTTCCCAGCCAGTGTCATTAGTACAGTGATAGTGTGTAGTAATATCACTATTAGTGTCACTGGTAATGTCAGTTAATCAGTTCTCCCCAGTGTCAGATTGCCCACTGCAGCGTTGCAGAGTCCCGTTATATGTTGCTGATCACCACTCACCACTCGAATGTTTGGTGTATTGTAACAGACAGAATAGCAACAAAAAAAGAAATGCATGTCTAACAAATGATGACTGATCTGCATGTTCATGAGGGAAATAAGTATTTGATCCCCTATCATTCAGCAGGATTTCTGGCTACCAGGTGTCTTTCATACAGGTAACAAGCTAGATTAGCAGCACTCCCTTTAAGAGAGTGCTTCTAATCTCAATTTTGTTACCTGTATAAAAAGACACCTGTCCACAGGAGCAATCAAATTCCAAACCCTCCACCATGGCAAAGACCAAAGAGCTGTCCAAGGATGTCAGGGACAAGATTGTAGACCTACACAAGGCTGGACTGGGCTACCAAACTATCGCCAAGCAGCTTGGTGAGAAGAAGACAGAAGTTGGTGCAATCATTCGCAAAAACAAGTGTCAGTCTCCATAGGTCTGGTGCACCATGCAAGATCTCACCTCGTGGAGTGTCAATGATCATGAGAACAGTGAGGAATCATCCCAGAACTACACGTGAGGATCTTGTCAATGATCTCCAGGCAGCTGGGACCACAGTCACCAAGAAAACAATTGGTAACACACTACGCCGACAAGGACTGAAATCATTAGTAAATAGAGATAGAAAAGGATATCATATTAACTCATTTTAAATTTTTTTTTTTTTTACATTTCTTCAGTTACTTCCTGGTTTCCATGCCTAGGCAAATGTTATACATTTCAGTAGTCTTTAGGAGGGGAGGGTTCTCAGCTCAGCCTATGACTGAGCTACGGGCAGATGGATTCCAGAAAGTTAATGATACATGAATCATCTGCCCTTACTCAAGATGGCCACTACCAGAAATGCCATGGAGTGTTTTTCAATATGATTTCTTGGCAAAATAAAGCATGGAGACATGGATGGATGGGGGAGTTTACTTTGAACATTACAAATTAATAGCAGTTTTTTTTTTTATGCCCAGATGCAGTGCAGTTCCACTTTAAAGACCAACTGGAGACACCCCCGCCCCCCCCTCCCACCCCCAGGGTTATGCTTTTGTAGATTTATATTTACCTTTTTACGGATATCTTCAGGCTAGTCAAACGATGCTGTAGAATTCTTGTCTTCTTTTCCAAGCTAGGCATAACTGTCAGAGCTGCACTCTGAATCATTACACTGAATTTTGGGGGCTGTGGTTACGGCCCCTCATGGGGTGGGTCCAATACACCCTGTGCTCACTTTAGGTCCTCAGTCTTCCAAGCTGAGAGACAGACTTTCAACCCAAAAAAAAAAAAAAAAACTGAACATCTTGTGGTGGAGAGGGTTTTGTTGGGGACAGCACTCAAGAGGGGGTGAGTATTGCAGCAAGAGCTGCTTTTTAATTTTGTAAAAACTTTCTGGGGAACTTTTTTTTTTTTAAATCGGCAAATTTTACAGAATCTGAGGAACTGTAATATGTAGATAGAAACCAAGCATCATGCTGCTGAAAGGCAGCAATGCTGACCACTGTGTGCCCAATTCACTGACCCTTACACACAAGCTTCCCAGCCAGAAACATAGCCCTACCTCTTCAATGTTTCATTCTCAGTCATGGGAGTTATGAAGTCTTCAGTTGGACACTCCACCACAAGAAAGGTTGGACCAGGGCTGTCCGGAGTCAGCAAATCACCAGGGAAAAACTAAGAAATGATTCAAAGATATTAGCAAGTGACTATTAAAGTGTCTGTAGCCCAAAATGTCCCTTTGGATTCTCTCATTCCTACCTCTCTGCCTTTGAACATGACACTCCTTCCAGCTTTAAGCTCCTTGACTAGAAACCCAATCTCTTGGCTCCCTCTGCATACAGAAAACAATAACAGGCCTATTAAAGTGTGTTAGGTGTCCGAGTTTAACCAAGGTTATCTTCCCCCCCCCCCCCACACTCTGTGAAGAACACCCTCGCAAGCCAGAATGTGTACTGGAAAACCCTCTTTTTATTCTGCTCCATGTGTTACTAAACCCACAACAGTGAAATCAGTCTGTAGATGCAGTAAATCATGCAGATCATACTCCCTGTGAAACCTAAGGGGTTAATTCTCTGCACTGTGTAAAAAGGCTGTTTGATCTTGTCTTCTCTGATCCTCCCCTTCGTTTATTTTGGGGGGTTAGGGTGTGCTGGGCTAATCAGCGCTGTCTGGCCAGAGGGTCAGGGGTCATGCAGCCTCAGGACATTGAGGAAGAAAAAAAAAAAAAAACCCTCCTACACGATTGGGCGATTCCGTCAGAACTGCTTTCTCGCCGCTGGGACACGGGACCAATGTATCATAGTCGGGCATTGCTCCCAAGACCAGACCAGACTAGCATAACCCTTGTGGATTTGTCAGGTTAATTCTAATCTTCTCTACAAATTAACATAAAAAAAAAAAAAAAAAAAAAAAAAAAAAACACACACACACGAGCCTGCCCTATCCTTTTTGATAAAAACGTGGATTATATATGGGTCTTCTATCCTCACACCTTAGATCAAATTATGAAATTGGGTTGGCTAAACTTAAAGTGGTTGAACATCTTGTGGTGAAAATTACATATACCCAGTGAAGTGACTGGCCTCAGGTGATACACGAAGATTAAACAAATCCTCTTACAAAAGTTGTACCTGTCTATCTGCAGTCTTCTATGTCAATTCAAAAGTGTTCAATTTATACAGCTTTCCTGGGAGTTCATTAAAAAAAAAAAAAAAAAAAAGACAGCTAAAATTACACACTGCAAGAGCTCAGTGAGGAGAGCTCCGAGACCTGATTGGAGGGAAGAGACACACCCCCATTCCCACAGCTCAAAAAGGAACAGAGCTGAGGCTGCCAATCTGCTGGAGGTCCCTCTCCATCACCATTTTTCTCTTGGTGTCAGGAAAACTTGTCAGAAGTGACTCATGCTGATCACAGAGGAACAAAACAGCAGACAGAAATTACATTTAGTGCTCTTAATTGAGACAAATACACACTATAGAGAGATATGCTTTGTTCATATTTCATGTCTGGTTTACAATCACTAACAATATTTCAATTTATACTACAAAAGAAAGTGCCAGTCACAGGGCTTGAAAGGAGAACATTTAGTGGACAAAAAAAAAAAAAAAAAAAACCCTATTTTGACAAGGCACAAGCTCATATTGTGCCTTGATCGATTCTCAGTTTCCACAACACCTGTGTTCTATAAAGGGTTTGTTCACACTTGACTTCTTCCCAAAACGCCCCTATAGCCTGAGACAGGTATTTTACAAGTGTTAAAAACGCTCCCCAAAAACGCCCTATGCGCGGTTTTGAGGCATTTTATAAGCATTAAAACCGCACCACAAACATCTAAAATGACCTTAATGGTATTAACGCCCCGCAAACGCCTGCCAGACGTTTTAGGAGCATCACCATAGACTTGAATGGAGAGCATTGAAAGGCTTCAACTCTTGACTCTACATGAGGCGTCCATTATGACGTGACGCTAACGCTTCAGTGTGAACTGCCATTTGTATCATTTTCAAAGGCGTTTGAGGAGCCTTAGGATTTGTTCAACTGTGATCTCTATTATGTTTGTGATAAACTACATATTCTGTCATCACAGTATCTTTTGAAATGCAGTAACGGTTTGTCTTGACCCAAGTTATTAAGGGGTTTTGGCAGATGCCACCCTTATAATAAAACATACGTACAATGGAAATCCAATCTCCTTCGCCTTGGTAACCAGGAAATGGCCTTTTCTGTCATTAATCTTACAGAAAAGAGAGAAGAAACAAAACATGAGACGTTAAATATTTGGTGAGACTGTAAATATTGTGAACACGTACACAGAAATCACTTCACTGGAGAATGCTTTTTCTGTTTCAGCGGTCTGTATGGCTTTGGAGATTAATCCACCCCTGACCTCTATACTGAAGAAGAATGCTCACCTTACAGACAAAAGACAGGACACATGGTGGGCCTCGATTAACTTTTCTTTGGTAGCCTGCAACAAATGGGAGGGGAGACCAATTAGAGGCCTGCATACATTCAGGACGGATATTCCGCAATCACAAAAAGCAAACGTTTCATTTTGAGCCCCTGGCAGATCCACTAATATAACTAAAAAATGATAGAATACAGCCTTCACTAATAGTTACACAGAATATCCAATTAAGGACCCAGCATTTTCTGGCACTTTTTGTATACAAGTAAAAAAAAAAAAAAAAAAAAGAAGAAAAAAAAAAAAAGCATTTTTTGCTAGAGAACCGAAGTTAGACTTACTGGTAACTATTTCCAGGAGTCTTCCAGGACAGCCCACAAGACATGGGACAGGAAACATGTTACTCCACAGAGAATAAAAGGCAATCCTCTAGGTGCCAGCCTTAGTAAACCACAAGTACCGAAGGACGAACCTGAAAAAACAAACACAACATAATGCATCGGGCGGGAACTCGGCCGTCCTGGAAGACTCCTGGAAATAGAGTTACCGGTAAGTCTAACTCCAGTTTTGCCGAGACATCTTCCAGGACAGCCCACGAGACAATAAGCAATAACTTCCCAACCTAGGGTGGGACCACTGCCTGGAGGACCTTACGCCCAAAACGTTTGCTCCTGACTGTTCAGGAGATCCACCAGGTAATGCTTGATAAATGTCGAGAAGCTCGACCAAGTAGCCGCCTTACAAATTTGATCTGGGGAAGCACCAGCTCTCTCTGCCCAGGACAGGGATAAGGCCCTAGTAGAATGTGCAATAAATGAAAAAAGGCACCGATAGCCCCTTGGTTCGGTAGCAACAAGAAATGGCTTGCTTGATCCATCTGGCAAAAGTTGGCTTAGAAGCCTGAAATCCTTGACGTTTGCCAGAAAAGAGAATAAAAAAAAAAAAAAAAAAAAAAAAAAAAAAAGGAGAGAAGAAGTGGACCTTCTGAATTGTTTGGATACTCCTAAATAATGCAAGAGACATTTCCTTACATCCAGCCGACTGATCCCTTTCATTTGAGTCAGAGGCACAAAAAGAGGGTAGTACAATGTCTTGCGACCTGTGAAAAGTCGTGGCTACTTTCAGCAAAACACCAGGGTCTGTTTTCAGAATAATCCTGTCATCAAAAACCAGCAAGGTTCTCTGATTGACAGAGCTTGCAGCTCACTTATTCAACGAGCCATAGTAATAGCCACCAAAAAAAAACGGTCTTCCAAGTAAGCAGTTTAATGGAGGCTTCTGTCAAAAGTTCAAAAGGACTGGACGTCAACACCTGTAAAACTAATGAAAGATCCCAAGAAGGCAAGATTTCGAAGGCACCAGTCTCATTCTAGCCACTGACTTGAAGCGAAGAGCAAGACTTTCAGAAATGCTCCCAAGCCTGCTGCCTCTACCTTTATGGTGTTGAGAGATAGTCCCTTGTCTACTCCTTCCTGAAAGAAATCAACGATTGTCTGAACGGAAGTCACTGTAAGCCCTTTCTCCATCATCCAAGAATTACATTTTTTTCCAAATCTTAAAATAGATGGTTCTAGTAACCGTCTTACAATAGTTGATCAATGTCTGGACTACCCTACCAAAAAAACCTTCCTGTTTTAACAACTGCTCCTCAGGTACCACACTGAGAGGTTTAACATGTCCAAGTCTGAACAATGATCCGGCCCCCTGTGACAAAAGATCCTCCCTTATTAGGAGGAACACTGGAGGGCAAACTGCTAGGGATTTCAGGAGAGCGAACCATGGGCGTTTCGGCCAATGTGGCACTATCAGGATGAGATCCAACTTCTCCAGCTGAAATTGTATTGTATTACTGGGACTAATCTGAAGGGGGGGAAAAAAGCGTAGGGCCACAGATTTGCCAGAGCATCTAATGCCACTGCAGTATACCCTGGATTAATGGAGAAAAATCTCTGAACCTTCGCATTTGCTTGAGAGGCAAACAGATCTGTCTTCGGTTGGCCCTACATATCCGTAAGCCAACCTCTTCGGCCAGTGACCATTCCTCCTGGCGCACCGCCTGACAACTGAGAAAATTGGCCAATACGTTGTGGGAACCCTTCAGGTGTAAGGCTGAGATTGATGCTAGATTGACTTCTAATCGCATCAAGATCCTCTTCGCAATTGCCTGAAGTCGTGGACTCCTGGTTCCTCCCCGTTCGTTGACATAAGCCACAGTCGTAATGTTGTCTGAGAGGATTTGCAAATGATGATCCTTCAATTGCACCTGAAAACGTATTGCCTTTTCCACAGCCAAGAGTTCCCTTTGGTATGAGGAATATCTGGCCTCGTCCCTTGACCACTGGCCCTGGGTCAACCTTTTTTGTATGCGTGTCCCCCAACCCCATGAGGGGGCAGCTGCACTACCCAGTACATCACTTTGTCTAGTTTGTTTGCAGGAAGAAATACTTTTTGAACGGTCAAGTCTATGACGTACCTCAAGAATTTTATTGACTGGCATGGCTCCAGATTTGATTTTTCCCAATTGATCACCTATACTAGTGCCTGAAGGTGATTCTGGGTAAACGTTAGATCCATCTGCAATTGGTCTTCGGAGGGAGCAGCTAACAGGAGATCATCTAAATAAAGAAATGCCCCTTAATCTCAATGGAGCCAGAGCTTCTCCCAGGACTTTGGAAAATATCCATGGGGCTGAAGACAGCCAGAAAGGGGAGTGCTCTGCACTGCCAGTGCAGAACCTTCTCCATTCTCAGGTACCTTGACAAGAGGGATGAATGGGCACATGCAGGAATGCATCCCTCAGATCCTAGGTCACCATAAAACAACCCTGCCGCAGGATGTTCCTGAGAGAGTATATTGACTCCATACGAAAATGTTTGTACTTTATTGACTTGAGTGGTCACAAATTCAGGATGAGGCAAAATTTCACACCACGTGTGAATAAAAACCCTGACCCCTCTCTCCTTCGGAACTGGGACTAAAACCCTCTGATCTACCATCTTGCCTATTTGCAAGTAGAATGCACTGTCTCCCGATCCAGAGGAAGATTCATGGTCAAGAATCTTTGGGAGGGGGGTTGCAGGGTATTCAACTCCAGCCTGTAACCCTTATCAGAAGGATAAAATGGACTGGAGGTGATAGACCTGCAAAGCTGGGAGGAAGGCCTCTAATATTCCTCCCACTGGGAGAAAGGAGTCGTTGGGTCTTAGAGAATTGAAGAGGATTAAACAAGATTCCTCTTTTACCCTTACCTTTGTTGCCTGCCCAACGTTTCCTTGGCCTGGCCTCTTTACCTCCTTCGGCTTGCTGCCTTTGGCCATGAAAAAGTCGTTTAAGGCCAGCGTTCTTTTCTTTTCTGGGAAGGCCTTCTTATCAGCCTCCTGCAAACCGGGACCAAACAGGTTATCTCCCGTAAAGGGTAGAGCACACAACCATGTTTTAAGCCAAAGTGATCTCCTAGCAGAATTTACCAGAGCTGACGATCTAGCTGCCATGCTTACTGCTTCAGCAGAAAAGTCCGCTAGAAACCCAACAGCTTTAAAGATCATAGAGAAGGATTTGAAAATCTCTTCTCTGGATGTGCCACCACTTAGGTGAGACTTCAGCTGAGAGAGCCAGAAGTCCAGATTTTTGGCTACACAGGTAGAAGAAAGGGCTGGTTTGAGACTATTAACAGTAGAATCCCAAGCCCTTTTGAGGAAGACCTCCCCTTTTTTATCCATAGCGTCCTTAAGGACCCCCATGTCCTCAAACGCAAGGTCAGATCTTTTAGAAACTTGATAAGGGCGCATACAATTTAGGCTCCTTATTCCAGGGATGCTCAATCCCTTCCTCAAAGGGGAATCTTCTTTTGAGGCTGTTGGAGAAAAAAGGCTTGCGTCCTGGTTCCTTCCATTCCAATTCAATAGCCTCTTTCAGGAAATTATGAACAGGAAATACCCTGCACTTTTTACCCTGAAGACCCTTGTACATTAAGTCATGTCTGGAGAGCTGGACTCTGTCTTCTACCATTTCTAATGTTTTGTAAATGGCCTTCAGCAAGTCATCTACTTCATCCAGAGTGAGCTTGTATCTCAATGACCCAGCACCTGAAATCACCTCTTCCTCTGAAGAACTTCCCCTATCCTCACTTTCCAAAGAGAAGGAGTTCACCCCCGAAAGCTCTATCTTGTGTACGGGTCTTGGCTGTGGAAGGGTTAGCTTCCTCTGAGGAAGGAGGAGGTGGGGTAGGATTTTTAAAATCCTCCAACAGAGTCTTGAAGGAATTGAACGTGGTTACCAACTCGTTCTTTACTGCCGACAGCAATTTGACACAAGCTGAGGTAGAGTCCTCCTTGACAAGATACAGGACAGGCACAAGGGCTTGCTCCAAGTAGATCCCAATTTGGCTGCAGAAACGACACATTTTCTTCTCTTGGGACCAGGGCCTAGAACCTTGTCCTGAGCTTTAGTCTGCAAAATAACAGCAAAAAAGGAAAAGGACCCTGAGCCCCCATAAAACATTACTAGACAACACACCCTCTACTCTAGCAAAAAGCAGGAAATGTGCTCTGTCAAAAACAGCCTAACACCCAAGAAGCTGTATGTGACAGGATAGAAACGTACACAAAACATCTGGAGCCCTCCTCATTGTTTTTACCTGTAAGGAGCTGGTGCTTGCATGTCCGGAGTCAACTTCCAGAGTTGCAGCCACGGGAGGATCCAACGCTACAGATCTCTCCATTCCAGCCTCTGCTGTAGCCATAGAAGACCACCGCACCGGCGGCCCAAACAGTCCGCCCTGCGCCTTAAATGGGGATTGGAACCGGTGTCCCTGGCGCACGGTGATGACATCACGCCAGAAGTGATGTCACTACAGCTTCTGGAGCCAGTGTGGAACGTAGAGACCCCGTCCCCCCACCGCATGAAGAGGAAGCCTGGGCAGGAGCGGAATACAGCCACCTATACTGCCCCAAGATGTGGTCTCCAAAAGACAGGTAAAGCTGCAGAGAGAACCTATCTTCCTCCACAGGCAGGGGGACTACTGGTAGAGAAATACCACCCAGGCTGCCGGGCTAGAAGACAGGGAATCCCAAGTGAAATTCTTCCCCACCTCCCCGCCTCAACTGAGCTTCCAACCAGCCCTGGGGAGAGGACTTTTCCATATGTTTCCAAGAAACAGGTTACTCCCGTCCAGAGGAAACACTAATAACTGAGGCTGGAACCTGGAGGACCGCCTTTTATTCTCTATGGGGTAATGAATTTCCTGTCCTGTGGGAGGAGCTGTACATCTCGTGGGCTGTCCTGGAAGACGACTTGGGAAAATAACTTACAACCCACAAACTATACATTTTTTTTTTATGTCACATGGTATTTGCCCAGCTGTTTTTTTTAAATGCAATTTTGTATTAAAAAAAAAAAAA